GGTTTTAACTCACGAAAGCTTATGCCCAAATAAATCTGTTAGTCTTTAAGGTGCCACCAGACTCCTTGTTGTTTTTCCATATGCAAAGCACTGCATTGTAGCGTGCACTTTGTCCCAGAACTGGAAGCAACCAGTACAAGCAGCTCTTGCAAAACACTGGGCAGCTGCTGTCTATGAGGACACAATGCATTGTAGACATAGGCGTGCATACGGAGTGTGCTGGGTGTGCCCAGGCACATCCTAATGTCTCAAAAAAAAAAGTGGTTTTGCATTTTAATTTAAGTAAAGTTTATTTCTTAATTTTAAAAAAAATTATGTTTAGTTAAGTTTTAGTTTCTTTAGTTTGTTTGATGAATAAAAATAATGTCCTTTACAATTGAGTATTCAATAAATGACAAAGAGTCCTGTGGCACCTTATAGACTAACAGAAGTATTGGAGCATAAGCTTTCGTGGGTGAATACCCACTTTGTCGGATGCAGGGATACTATTCAATAAATGTTCACCTTTAAAAAAAAAAATTCCCTGGGTACATACCCTAATGAAATGTGCTGCACACGCCTATGATTGTACAGGCATTGCAAACTCAATTAATGGTTTGTTGCAATGCCTTTTTAACTAGTAGAGACCAGGTCAGAGAAGTTAAGTGACCTGACCAACACCAAAGGAGGAGTCAGTGTCAAGATTCAGGAGTTGCCACCTCCCTCACACAGCTCAGCAAATCACAGCTTTGTCCGGATTCAGTGTGGCTTTCTCACATGCATACTGAATATTTGTAATAAACCATCCAGACATGTGCCTTGTTTGAATGATGTATTGATAAAACATTTTCACTGGTAACTTCTCTCTCTTTTTTTTTCATTTTTAACAGATGGTAGAAGATATGCTTCTGATAGTGAAGAGCAATATTACAAGCTTGACCTGGAGGACTTAAATGCAGTGTTAAAAAGTAATTTTTAAAATATAATATACAAGTAAATCTGCCATAAGCATTTATATGTCGATTTTTAAAATGTTACCCAGACAAATAAATTTCTTGGTCTGGGATGCAGGCAAAACCCTTGGGGCAGATCCTCAGCTGCTGTAAATTGTCATAGATCCACTGGACAATTTATACTAGCTGAGGATCTGTCCCTTGCCTTGCTAATTCACTTCAACTCGGGGGAAAAGACTGAACACAGGCAGGATTTTCCACAATGTTTAGTGTTACCTTAACCCTGCTGCCAGTGAACCACTGACTTTGATGGGAGCAGAGTTAGGCCAGCATGGAGTGCAGTGGAAAATCCCATGTATAAACTGGAGGTTCAACCATTTCATAGCATAAAGCAAAAATTTACATTAAAAAGCCTTTATTTTTGGACTGGCAAAAAGACAGGCAGCAATCTTCTGCACATCTGGGAGTCTGCAGAGGTGGGAGTGGGGCAAGGCAGAGAGAAGGGAGTTGCAGGAGTGAAGACAAGAGGAGATGAAGGAACAGATGAGGATTTCAGCTGAAGTGGAGCGGTGGCAGTGTTGTGCACACAGCGGCAATGATGGAGGTGCTAACAGGCAGGGTTGTACACGTAAGTCATGCAGGTAGAACAGTGACATTCAGGGCCCAGGGTGACGCCAAATTTACAGTCAGTGAAGGCTACTGGGGAAAATATATGCTTAGTTTGTGACATGAGAATCATTCCCATCAAGCATGCTGGAGTATTACAGGAAATGGCATTGCAATGCTGCATCACAGCATGGAGCTACACTACAGTGCACTGATGCAACATCACACTGGGGAGAGTCCCATTTTCTGATGTGGCAGCACAATGGTGAAATCCTGCCCTACTGAAGTCAAGAGGAATTTTGCCATTAACTTCAATGAGGCCAGGATTTCACCCAGGATTAGCTTGGCTCACAAGCAAATACAAAAAGGTGGCAGCCCTAACAAGGTGAGCTGGGAGTGTTCAGAATCATACCCCAGTTCTCTGATTGCTGCCATGAAGCCACAAAAAGTGGTTGCTGTTACAATACCATCTTCTCTCACTATTATGCAGCAGCAGCAGAAACCCTAACTCAGTCCTGTCTCTGGGCAGGGGTTCATGGCCATTATTGTCAGTACTTGTGCCAAGAAGTGCAACAGCATGTACTTAAATGCTTTCCTGATTAAGAATGGATTTAAGTATGTGCTTAAGTGCTTTCCTCAACTGGGGACTGGGTGAGCAAATCAGCAGCAAATTACAATGGGGACAGGAAGGAATGAGCTCCAGGAGGACGTGGCCTTTTAGTGGTAGAGACAAGGATGGTGTTTGTGACAGGCCTTACCAGGGGGAAATAAGAAGGAGTCCTAGCTCAGGTCACTCAGCAACTCACTGTTGCTCTAGGAAATGAATGAACAGTTGTATTTTTCTCTTTGTTTTTGCTATCTCTGCTCAGTGTATTTTGGGGAATTTGCTAAAAAGTAAATAAAACAAAAACTCCAGGAAGAGCAACTTGTTTTCCATCAGACTCCCACCAAGTCTGGGCTGCTGTAGGTGTATGTGTGTTGGGTGGGGAGGGGGGGAGAAGGGGAGGGCGAGGACAAAGCTCACGAATACACTATAATCTTTAGAAAAAGATCAGTAACAAACTTTCTACCCTATAAATTGGTTTAGATTCATGTAAGTTTTCAAGACTAAATTGGCAAGGAAGAGGGCTAGAAACAGTAGCCCAGACTTGGTGGGATAGATCTTTACATCTAAAGTAGGTGGAGTCCTATTCAGGTGTTTATATATTATTGATTTTAGGGTCCAGTCCAACTCCTAGTGCAGTCAATGGAAAGACCTTGACTTCAATGGGAGTTTGAACAGGCCATAATATCTAATCATGGACACTAAACATTGTATATGTTTTCATATTAGGAACATGTGTAGTGAATATATATTTTTTGAATTTAGGTTATAAAAATTCAACACCAGTGAAATTTATGAACATCAAAAGAAGATTAACAGCTCAAAATATGGACATTAACTACTTGGAATAGAACAAATAGGTTTACTTTACCTGCTGCTAATTTCTCATCATGCTGTAAAAATAAAAACAACTATGTTAACTTAAAAAAGTTACTGTAAATGTGACTGTGAAAAGTTCCATTAAAGGCTGGTAAACTTTAAATCAGTTTGGTTTAGTAACAATTTCATTTTATGTTAATAAAAATTAAATTTGGTAGTCATGAAAGCTAAAGGGTGAACAACACATTAAAGGCTTGATGTTCTTAGGAGCGATATCCAATGTAAAAAAGCAACAGCAAAGTTTACAACTCCCAGGTATCTGCAAAGTAGCAGTGTTCAAAACACAAGACAGGTGTCTCTTTCTGCTTTCACCAAAGACATGCTTCCCCAAACTGCAGTCACATTAAGCGTCCTCCTGTGTTTGACCCACTCAACAAAGTCATCCCCATCAGCCAGGTGTTTAAGCAGAATGAAATGTCCAGCTGGAGCTGCCTCCAAATTTTTGATGATTGGATCTGGCTCCGGTCCCACTTAGATCGGATAAGTGGGGTTCCCCTGTATTTATCCACGTGGTAGGGAGGCGTGCAGTGTCTGTACTCTATACGCCACCATAAGTGTAGACATACCTATACACATCTAAAACATTGAGACGGGATCAGAGTTGAAGACCCAGCTGACAGGTCTATTCTTATTATTATTGTTTGTATCATGTGAGTGCCTAGGAACCCTAGACTTTGACCAGGACCTGACTGTGTACATTCTATGGGCACTGTACAAACACAAGGTCTATCTAGTTTGGCTGGTGCTGCTCCTGTCTGAGGTTAATATTTTAGTATACTTTTAATAGACCTTTATTATTGCTATGACACCTGCGACTCTCTGTGTGTAGTTTATAGATCATAAGAAACAGTTATGATTAGGTGAATTGTGACTAAAAACAAGCTGTTGTTGCTGCTGCTGAAGATATTGGAGGAGAAGGTATCTGTGTTTGTGTCTGTCTTTGTTGTCCTTGTGTGTTTGTAGAGGCCTGCAGGGGCAGGGTGCTGGGAGGGACGCCGAGCCCTGATTAGGGGGCGGGGCTTGGCTGTGTAGGGGGCCCATAAAAGCGGCCACCCAGCCAGGCAGCGGCACAGCTGCGAGCAGCGGCACCGGAGGCAGCAAACAGGGGAGTTTGAGAGGGAGTTCGCAGGGGGAGGCAGGAGGGCGCGGTGTGTTGTGTGCTCTGCACCCGCAGATGCAGAGACCAGAGACCACAGCAGCCATGAGCCAAGCAGCAGCAGACGGAATGCAGATGGCAGCATGTGGGAGCTGTGGTATGTATATAGTCCTAGCAGGGGACCTGGAACAAAGGTATGTGTGTATGAAGTGTCGCCTTATAGTGTTACTGGAGGAAAAGATTAAGGGGCTGGAGATGCAGGTAGAGACCCTGGTGGAGTTTAGACGGGGGTTTGAGCAGCTGATGGAGGATAGGCAAGGCGGGGCTGGAGGGGAATGCTCTAGGGTGGAGGAGGAGGCAGTAGTAGATGGCAGCGAGAGGGGAATGGAAGGGGGAGAACAAGGGAATTGGAAGCATGTGACTGTGAGAAGCAGGCCAAGGAAAAGGAGGGCCAGTGAGGGGGGAATAGAACTCAGGAATAGGTTTGGGTGTTTGGATAACGAGGTGGAGGGGCAGCAGGTGGTGACTGAAGGTGGGAGGGTGAGGAAGAAGAGAAGAGCAGCTAGTCCGAGAGAGAGAGGGGACGAGTTGATGGAGACAGCACCAATTCTGGGCCCCCGTAGGATTCAGGAAGGCATAAGGGGCAGCATAAGGGAAGATAGGAGCAGACACAGGTCAGGACTAGAGGGATCTGAGACTAGATTACTAGATCGCACTGTTGCCAGGCAACGGCAGGTGTATGTAATTGGAGACTCTCTACTGAGGAGATTGGACAGGCCTGTGACCAGGGCAGACCCAGAGAACAGAAGGGT